TATTAGCACAACAAAGTAAACAAAACACATCATTAAGTCCACCATGTGACCGTTCACACATTGCACAATTAAAGACTAAATAAGGTTAGTATTTTGCAAGTGAAATAAAAGTTCCCATTAAAATGCGCAAGTCGTTCACTAAGAAGTTTTTTTTTGTTTGTCAGCAAATGCTTTTAGTTGAACATCGACGCACATTACGTACATACATACATACATGTGTGTTGACTGTGCTGCTGTGCGGCGGCGTTGCACGCAAAAGTAGTGGATATTCCACCCATGTCGCAAGCAATGAGCTACACCTAATTAATGCCCATTTGAAATAGGCCAATAATTCACACCAAAGATGTCGACGTTCTCAGGCAAAGTGCTCAAACTGACCAAAGGACACAACGTCTGTGGAAATAACATTTCGAAGTTATATTTAGGCAAGCGACACACACGCACATGCGGCACACTCACGCCACTCACGGCTCATTTACTGTGCGCGCTCATTGCATATTTGTGCGTGAAATGACAACTTTAGTTGGAGTAGACTAGGGCCACGCACTACTCGCACTACTACGCAGCTTCCGGCCAGCTCCTCGAGAATGTAAATGCCATCAGACATGCGACGTTGCGACGATACGAGGTGGTCGACACTTCATTGAAAGGACATTCAGCGCCGCCTAATCGACACAGACACATCATTATCGATGAATTGTGTGGGCGCGTCATGGACGAGGCGTATGTATGTAGTCGAAGGAGGATATGTGTGCTTGGGGGAATGGAGCCAGCCGTAAAGGTGTTTGCCAACTGATAAGCATTTCATGTCACATGGCGCTGTTTGCACTTAAGCCGCTTTCATCTGCTTAATTGCTTTTCGATATATTCATTCATTTATTTCTTCGACACTTTTTGCAATTCGTGGCATTAGCTCCTCTAAGAGTGTTTATGTAAACGTGTTTGATGTTTGTCCTTAAAGAATAAGGGATTTATTGTTTTTTTGGGGGGTTTTACTTTTATTTGTATTTTTCTTGAGTTAACTCGAGTTGGGGTCTTTATTTGGCAGGAAGTTTGCGCTCAATATCCGGTCGCCGGTTCAACAGTTTCGCTTGAATGCTGCTTTTGCTGAGCGACGTTCATTTCTTTGTCGCTTAATGAGACATTGTGCATTAGTGTTTTGTTTTTAGTAATGACGCTTTGACAGACAATTAAATACTCTTTTGGCATAGGGATGTGTCCTTCTACGTAAATTAAATGCTTCAATTTGGCACATGAAACTTTCCAAGAATAACTAATTTGTATTTTTTTCCTTTCTAGTTGTTGTTGTTTCCAACAGGGTGAGTGTATGATGTATTTTGGAACGAATTTCCATCATCCCGTTCTCGAACGAAAAATTACATTAAAGTTGGCACAACGCCGAAACTGGTTTGTCTCCAAACCAACTTTGACCAGGGATAACGGAAAGTCGTTTAAAAACACCACAATTTGTATTTTGCCGTAACGAATACCGATCGATTTGAAATCGGTGGCAATATTCCAAGCTTTAATGGTTTAAAAGGAAATAAATTTAGTCGAGTAAGCTAAATAAATCAAAAGCTTCACCACAACTAATTTCCAGAAGCAACTCGGAATACTGCATTCACTGAACATTTCTGACATATCGGACAAACTTCGTTTCCATGACAGTGTTGGGTCTACATAACCGGAACGATCCAGATTTATGTGTGGGAAAGGACTACAACTCATTAGACGAATTTCAGGGCCATAATTTGTTTTAAAATCGATTAAGTAAGGAGAGGTCTACAGAAGCAAGTGCTAGCAGAAAAGTAAAGTATGATCATCAATTCAAAGTAGAACCGAACTGTAGCTTATGTAGGTCTGTCTCATTCGATTACAGATATCTCGAAACCTGTGAGTTGTCAGCGATGTAGCAGTTAACTATGCATCTTTTGAAATGGAAAACTAGGTACATTCTCAATTTGGCTCCGTATAGGGAAGATACGGACATTCCTTTGGCTTTCGGTGAGTGAGAAATATATGTATGTAGGAAACAGAGATTTCATAACTTTATTACTTTTTAACCGACTTCACAAACAGGGGAAGGTTATCAATTAAAGTGTGTTACCGCATAACTCTGGACCATGTTAACCGATTTGTATTGCCTCACAGGTGGTCCCATACTAATTTGGTTTAAATCCGATCATTGAGGAAATTAACCATGATCTTTTAAATTTTTCTTTGAGAATTGAAGTTGGTTGAGTTTTTTGCTTAAAAATTTCTTGTACATACATACATATAGTGATAGAACTTTTTAGAAAAGTATCGATATCTGTACTCATTTATAATACTCTAAAAAAGAATCGATGCCAGTACTCATATTTGCAAAAAAGTATCGATAATACTCGTACTTCCAAGTATTTTTAGGGCAAACGCGAAAAGTTAACAAAAATCAAACTGCTTTGTTTACATATACATATGACCTCTTTTTTTTTGTAAATTGAATAGACATTGGCTTTTAATAGTTGAAGTCTGATCTAACAAGCATTTCTAACGGAGTTTTTGAAAAGAACTTGCAATAAGGTTAAAACGTTAAAATAAATGCTTTTGGCAAAAGGCTTATTTGAAGCTTTTAAAAGCAACTAAAGCCATTGTCTAAAGAAAAGTTAAGCTCCCTTTCACAAAAATTTTCTTCGAAAGCGCGCTGGATTTCGAATTTAAAACCAAGGTAGAATTCATTGGAAAACGAAGGCTCCGTTATTATGGAGAATTGCCAAGTTATCGAGCCGAAGACCACCCTCCTAACCCATTCCTTACACCGGCACAAAAAAAATTGTTGTGTGCTTTTAACCAGACCCACTTGCCGCCACATATTTCGACCCACTCAATCCAAATCTGAGGTCCGTTTGACTCGTTTTTGTCATTTTATTTTCACAATTTTCGCAATTAACTCCAAATTTAGGAGGTGTACGAGTCAAATGGACCTCAATACATGTCAATATGTGGGTCTGGTTAAAAGCAGACACCACTTTTTTGTGTGGGCCAGTGTTATCGAAAGTATGGCAAGAGATTCGCTTTCCAATTATTTAAGATGTTTTAACCGAGCCAAATGTCCACATGACTGGTACCTCTTCTTCTATGTTGTATATAAATTTCCAAGCGATTACCAGTAGCTCTCCAGAAAAAAGTATATATTAATTCTTCGGTTTTTTGAGTTATGACAGTTTTGAAGTATATAAACGTTATGCCTATGGGGTAATTTTTAAACATTTTTCAATGTTATTGAAAAAAAATAAAAATTTTACCTAAACAAGTTTTTAAAACGTAGATAGGATCGAGTCCTCGATACTACTCAGTACTCATGAAAAGTATCGATCTTCTGTACTCGGTACTCGTATCGTTCTATCACTACATACATATGTATGTAGAAACTGAAGAATGTCGAAAATAAAGAGGTCCGCATTTTATTATTTTGATATAGGTTGTAAATCTTAATCGCCGGGCCTTAAGTTTTGCATATATTTCCCAAAAATTTGTGGAAAAGAAGGTTTTAACTTGATGGTTACACGAGGAAGTTTTCAGAAAAATTATATAATTTTTCTTATTTTTATTAACAGCCTAGGCAAGAGAGCCTTTGTATTCGTTCTTCGCTCCGTTCAATTTAAGTAGGCAAATTAAAAGACAAAACTTGAGGGTGTAACTTTTGCGTAATATGAAAAAGAAAAAAAAATTTGAAAATTTTCTAACTTTATAGGAAATTTAGTGAGATTTTTAAATCTACTTGGAAAATTTATTGTTTCTGAAAAAAGTAAAGATGTTTATGATTGCGATCATGAAAATTAGGATTACAATTAAAGTATTCGTACGAATTCGTATATGTGTTTGGAGTTATTATACAAGTAATGTTCTACACAGACTTGTGGTCGCAGAACTTTCAATAAAGTTTAATTTTGATTAACAGTTTTACTACGACTTTAACGAGAGAAAAGAAAACGCTATTATAAAGTGCGGTTTTGCCTACGAAACATTGTACTCGCATTAACCTCCGCTTCAATTTGTTCAATTCCATGCTCGTGTATTTTTCTAATTTTTAACTTGACTTGTTTTCATTGCTGTCCAAATGGTTGAATAGTTTCTGTGTGGCATTTAAGTTTTTTGTCCAATTTCGTCTTCCACTGACGAGTGATTGATCATCACCGTGCTGCGTTGGAGCCATGCGTACTTCTATGTATGTATGTATGCAGCACATAATCCTTCACAAGGTCATCGAACAAATGACGGACAACATGACATTATCTGCAAAACCAATGCTCACCAAACGTTTCCTCGATGCCATATTAAGCGTGTCAGTTTTTTGGACATTCGTTTGTGGATTACGCTCCGTTTTTTTTTTTTTTTATTAAATAACAGCAGTAATGTGAAATTGACTCTAATCGGCAGCTTTGATGGACGAAAGTGACAGGAATTCTTTTAATCTTTCCTAAACTTTCGGCCAGTGACTGCATTGAATTCACCCCTGCCGTTGAACTTCGGCGAACCTTAATCGGCCGACAAGTGTAAGCCCAAAGTTTTAATAAAAAAGCCTTGTTGATTTTAGGACTTCACAAAAATTCCCACAACGCTGGAGGCGATATCAACAAACGTGTTCTGTATGTCAGATATATCACAAATATGTACATACATACATACATACATACATAGCCATACAAAGGCCTAACCGTGCTGGGTGTGCTGGCTGCTAAAGTTCCGT